AAAATATTTAAATAACTAATGTGCATTAAGTGATTAGGTTCCATCATACATAAAACTGTTGTTGAATCAGCATGCTTATACAATACTCTGCTTTCTGTCGATAGTTGTGACAACAGTTTTTTTGTCTACTGTCATCTCGCCTTGTCAAAATTGGTCACTGGATGTTTCCCTAGTACAGAGGAATCAAGACTGGGTTGCTTCAGCAACAGTTGCACAACTGCATGTTTAAAATACACAGGAAAAACACCTGACCTGACCGTACTATGAAAAATCTCTAAAATTACAGACTTGACATCAAGTTGGCTGGAAAATGTTTTATCTTCTTGGGTATTTTCTCCAACTGATTAAAGCACACAAGTTAAAACCTTTGAAAGAAACCAGGACTTGCAATAAAGGTGAAAGGTTTGTCTAAAGGTTGAGTCGTTCATTATCTAAGGTTTTGTACTTTGATGATAAAAAACTGATCCATGTTACCTCCCCTTTAAATCAATCAGACTCAAGTTTTCATCAACAAACTCCTTTCTGATCGGTCTGTGTTTTCCCCTCAGACCGATCAGAAAGTTTAACTCACTTCCTGCTGTTCTCTGCTTTCAGATTCTTGTTGCTTTTGTAATTAAATCGTAAAAATTCACTGGTTCTCTGTGTGATTGTGCATGTGGGTCAAAGAACTAAAAACCAACATGACAGTTTCCACACAGCTATTCAAATCCTTTTGGGCGATGGGTCACAAAGGCAAAGGTTCGAGTCACTTTTTTTTAAGCTCTGGTTTCAGAAGACTCTGAAGTTGTCCCTCTGTGAAGCACGGGACAATGGTATCCCACTATTCAGCTGATCTGTTCTGCATCAACATGCACAGGGACACATGGCGTGACCTGTGACGCCACATCTACATAAACTACTACTACAATCAGATGCCTGTTATCAGCTTGAAATATATCAACAATATATTTTTATGGTCCAGGCTGGGTGAGAACATACCATCATCAGCAACAGTCTTCTCTGTTGGTAACGGATTATGAGCTGCTCATTCTTGCCATCAAATGTGAGGATAGCACTCCAAAGTCATTGTTTTGTCAATTTTTTTATCCGTTTTGTCGTCTCTGTTTTCCAACCAGGCTTCTCTGATCTACCATTGTTCTCCTCAATCTCCCGCTAT